CGTGGTGCCAAGCTGGCGCTGAACACTGCCGGGGATGGGCCAGCCACTGCTTCTCTGGGCATCCTGTGCCAGTGCCTCAGCACCCTCACAGGGAAGAGCTTCTGCCTTAGATCTAACCTGAAGTTCCCCTGTTCCAGTTTGAACCCATCACCCCTTGTCCTGTCCTTACAGGCCCTGACGAAGGTCCCTCTCCAGCATCCTTGTAGCCCCCTTCAGACACTGAAAGCTGCTCTGAGGTCTCCACGCAGCTTCTCTTCTCCAGGCTGAACAGCCCCAGTGTTCTCAGCCTGTCTCCATACAGGAGATGCTCCAGCCCCTGATCATCCTTGTGGCCTCCTGTGGACTTGCTCCAGCAGCTCCATGTCCTTCTTACGCTGTGGACACCAGAACTGCACCCAGTGCTGCAAGTGGGGCCTTTCCCTTCCTCCCGAGGCTGTTTGCACTCAGGGACACGACATGAGCTGAGTCAGGACCTGCTGCTTTTCCTTTCTGTGCCTGCTGGTGCTCGAGCTTCGCTGCTGCTGCAGTTGGAGGGCTGGGGGAAGCAGCGTGGGTCGGTTCTGCTCCTGCACAGTGAGTCAGGGCTGTCACTGGGGGATGAGCAGAGCAGCACAGCAGCAAAAACGGGCTCTTGACTCATGGCGTAGGACAGAAACCGGAGCAATGTGATCCCACCGCAGGGTCAGGCAGGATGCTGCTCTGTACCGGGGCTTCTTGAGTCATGCACGTGCTGGAGGCAATTTCCTTTTTAAACCTCTTGTGTCTGGGCACTGGCAGTATTATATTTAGTTTAATTGTTTGCTCAGGATATGAAGGATTCAGGCTGCATCATGGAAACTTGTTTAGTAAGGAAGAAAAAACGCTTTTAGGCATGTACCTGATGGCAACCACTCCAGTTAGCAGAGCTGCAGCTTGGCTGGATGTGTCAGATTGCACTTGAAGGATAAATTCTGATACCTAAAATACATTTCCCCCAGCTTTTACGCTCTTTTTACTCCACTGTATTAAACACTTAGAGGTTATAACAGGATGGGACAAATATAAAAGGGGACATACCAATCACATGCAAAGTGTTCTCTGTTTTCAGGCCTTGAGAATTAATACGAAACATAGGATCATGGTTTGGGTAGAGAAGGACCTTTAAGGGTCTCCTAGTCCAGCCCCCAGCATCCTTTTCATTTCATCAGTAATGTATATGGGGCAATATCTGCTTGTGCTGGATTCCAAACCAAACAGTGGTGATTGCTAGGGGCCTGTAGGGACAGGCCAAGGGGAATGGCCTTAACCTGCCAGAGGGGAGACTGAGATGAGCTCTGAGGTAGAAGCTCTTCCCTGTGAGGGTGCTGAGGCGCTTGCACAGGGTGCCCAGAGAAGCTGTGGCTGCCCCATCCCTGGCAGTGTTTAAGGCCACGTTGGACACAGGGGTTTGGAGCAACCTGCTCTAGCGGAAGGGGGCGCTGCCCATGGCAGGGGTTGGAGCTGGAGGAGCTTTAAGGTCTCTTCCAACACAATCCAGTCTTAATCTGTGGTTCAATTGACAACGTTTCTGGCTGCTTTTGAGCTCATGATTTCTCTCTCTCCAGACCCCAGGATGGCAGCAAACCAGCAGACACCAGCCAAGCACCATCAAGTACAACCGGCTACAGCCAGCCCAGCCTGGGGTACGGGCAGAGCAACTACAGCTACCCCCAGGTGCCTGCCAGCTACCCCATGCAGCCGGTCACCGCGCCGCCCTCCTACCCCCCTACCAGGTAACTCGGCTGAGCCTCATGCTGCTGGTGTGGAAATGGGTTACTTTGGGCAAGAGGGGTTTGAAACAAGCACATCTAAAAGGTTTGGTGTCCTGGGAGTGGGGAGGGGGGTTCTTGCTGGGGTACTTGTTATTGTAGGGAAGATGACTGAGTGCATACATGTCCCTGCACACATCTCCAGTAGCAAGGTGAAAGGGTGAAAAATGTTTTTAAGAAGTTTCCTGGGTAGAGAGTATGTTACAGCCACCTTCTGCTGCCTCCTTACACAGCCAGCTTTGCCAAGAAGCTCGCCCTCTTCCTCTCAAGAGTCTGTACTATGCTGGTGCTGACTTCCAAAGTGTATGATTAGAAACTCTCAGCCCCTGGGGCTGGTTTAGTGCCCATCAGCTGAAGATGTGTCAGTGCCAGGGCAGAAGAGGAGCCTCTTGCCTGCCTTGCTGCTGATTTTCTTGCCCTGGCACTTCTGCCTCTTTCTCGAGGCATGACTAAATGGTGACAGGCCACAAGGATCTTGCTTTTAGCAGGCTTCTATGTTGATTTTGCCTCCTGGCACCAGACTGGCCTCTGCAGGGTGACTTCACCTGTTTAAATGGTTTACAAAACCACTTATGGCTTATAATTGCATTACCCTCTGCTGGGAGCCACTCCTGTGGCCTAATGCACATTGCCAGTGAGCTGGCTCATTGTTGCAATACTTTTGTCTTCCAGCTATTCCTCCACACAGCCGAGCAGTTACGATCAGAGCACTTACTCCCAGCAGAGCACCTATGGGCAGCAGAGCACCTATGGACAACAGACAAGCTATGGCCAGCAAAGCAGCTATGGGCAGCAGCCCCCACCGACCCGTTACCCCCCCCCAAGCGGGTCCTACAGCCAGGCCCCCAGCCAGTACAGCCAGCAGAGCAGCAGTTATGGCCAACAGAGTGAGTGGTCGGGGAGGAGGGTCTCCTCTTGCCCTTGCAGTGTGGGCTGGCTCCGAAGGAGGCTCAGTTTGGATCTAAAGCTTGGAGCTGCATTGAAGGGAAAAGCACAAGAGGGACGTGGAGCTGCTGGAGTGAGGCCAGAGGCGGCCCCGGAGCTGCTGCGAGGGCTGGAGCAGCTCTGCTCTGGAGCCAGGCTGAGAGAGCTGGGCTGGGTCAGCTGGAGAAGAGAAGGCTCCTGAAGGGGACACCTTAGAGCAGCTCCAGTGCCTAAAGGGGCTCCAGGAAACCTGGAGAGGGGCTTTGGACAAGGGCCTGTAGGGACAGGCCAAGGGCAATGGCCTAAACCAGCCAGAGGGGAGATTGAGATGAGCTCTGAGGCAGAAGCTCTTCCCTGTGAGGGTGCTGAGGCGCTGGCACAGGGTGCCCAGAGAAGCTGTGGCTGCCCCATCCCTGGCAGTGTTCAAGGCCAGGTTGGAAACGGGCTTGCAGCAACCTGCTCTAGAGGAAGGTGTCCCTGCCCATGGCAGGGGTTGGAGCTGGAGGAGCTTAGAGGTCTCTTCAGCCCAAACCAGCCTCTGATTCTCTGGACAGTACTGTCGCTGGGTTTCCCCTTCCTCCCTGAGGTGCAGTGTACCTGGTGCAGTGCACACTGCAACACTGCCCTCAGCACACAGAGGTGTTGACAAGCACAGAAGCACCAAATACTGCTGGGTCTGGGCTGGGTGAGATGTGGTCTAACCAGTTGTGGGTGGCAGTTCTGCAGGGGTTAGGCAGGTAGGGCCCAGCACCAGGCTTGATTCCACACTGGAAAGCAGCACAGCTCTCCTTAAGTGAACAGTGTGACTGTAAGTGCTGGAGCAGTGATCACTGTGATGATGCTCTGGGGCTGGAGGCAGGTCTGAGCTTAGCACGGGGACAGGCAGCTCCCTAACGTGTTTGTTCCAACCTTCCTCAGGCTCATTCCGTCAGGACCACCAGAGCAGCATGAGTGTCTATGGACAGGATTCCGGAGGCTTTTCAGGCTCGGGAGAGAACCGGAATCTGAGCGGCCCCGACGGCCGGGGCAGGGGACGAGGGGGATATGAGCGAGGAGGCATGAGCAGAGGTGGGCGGGGAGGAGGACGCGGTGGAATGGGGTAAGAGCAAATCTTTTCTCCTTTTATCTACTTCTGGTTTACCCATAGGCTTTGAAACAGAAAGAAGGGACTGAAAGGTTGACATTCCCAAGTGTATTTCCATGGAGAACACCTCTGTAGCATTGAACACCCATGGAAGTATTATCCTAAGGGGGAATAGGAGCAGGATCTGTTTGGTTTTTGTCCTGCAGCTGGTTGGGCCCCAGGTTGGTGGAGGGGGTGGAATTAGGGGAATTGCTAAACATGGAACTTTCAGCTCCCTTCGTGCTTGTGCAGAGGTGAGATCCTCTGCGGGGTTGGACAGTAACTCTGGATCGAACACACACAAACCTCCCTGTGCCTCAGGAGTGGGAATGTCGGCAGCGTAGGCCTCCTGCCGGCCTCAGCCATAGCATGTGGAGCAGCGTGGGCCTGGGGCAGGTCCAAGCCATGACTCTTGAGTGGCCACAGCACTTAGAGCTTGGTTGGAGTGTGCAGAAAGACCCCCTGAGAACATAAAGAGCTCCCCCTTGGAGCCTTCAGGTGCTCTAAATCAGTTTGGCCATTTCAACTGATGGCAAAACCTGGTTTGGTAACCCCTGTCCGTGGTGTTGTGATAGAGGTGAGGAAGGAGGGCTAAGCCCAAAGGCTCCTAAGAGAAGGAAGATGTAGCTTTGTGTGTGTTCCATCCCTTGGGACCGTCGGGCAGAGCTATGCAGAGTGTCCCATGGTGCACGCTGGGCTGTGCAGTGCTGGCCTCCTCCATAGGCAACTTCTCCTAGTGCTTTATGGCCCAGTGGCAACCAGAGTTTGGCAACTGAGTCCCACTCTGCATAGCTCTGTCACAATGAAGTGGCATGAAATCTTTATCGGAGAAATACAACTCCCAGTGTGTGGAAATGGCAGATCAAAAAAGCCTGGCTTGTGTTGGGATGCATCTGGCTTCAATTGGCTCGAGTGGAACAAGAGTTCCCTGGTTCTGCATAAAGATTTCACCCATGCTGTACTGATCACTAATGGTTGAAAGTAGATGTAGACACTTGAAATGTCTATCATCACATCTTCAAATTTCTAGCCCCTTCAGAGCTGCTCATGCCAAAGGTTTTGTCAGCTTGATTCCGTGCCCTAATCTGAGCTTACACTGAGCACGGAGCCATGTCCCACCTGAGTAGACCCTTGCTAAGGGCTCCCCAGCTTTATGGACGTAGACTTTGTGCTATCCATAGGCAAGGTGGCCCTTCCTAGGAACACCAAGGGGCGGGTAGGGGAACTCGGCCCTCCTTAGCATGCTGTGGTGATGGATTTCAGTGTCTCCTGCAGGTAAGGAGCTCGATGTTCTTAACGTGCCCTTTTCTTTTTTCATTGACTCAATTATTTTCTATTTTCATTGGCTGTTAAACATGGAAACTTTTTAACATGCTTTGTCGCATTTATATGCTACAGGTTACAAAGTGAGAGCCTTGTATACACACTTCAATACTTAAAAAGTACCCGTACTCAGTACTCAGCCGGCAGCATAATGAAAAGTGGGACTAGACACGGTGTCCATATGGAGAGGAAAAAAATATACATAGGATTATTTTTACCCCAATGTATTCATTGTATAAATGGAATCCTTCTGTAATGTTTTTTGGTAACTGCATCCTTGTTGTTTGGTAATAAAGCCAGAGGAGGTGTGCTCTAGAATTGTGTAACGTTAACAAGTGTAAAGCATTGTGTTTAACACGAGAGCCGTGACGTAAATGGTGTGTGCTCGAAGGAGCAGAGCTGCATGCAACACCTTGAATCTCTGTATTGACAACTCTTTTCTTCCCCAGTATTAGAGGTGCAATACTTGCTAGAAAACAGGCAGTGCTCTCCCTCCTCCGCTCCTTAACTTCCAAACAGCCTTTTCTGCCTCTCCTGAAGCAAGGGAGAAGCAGCCAAATCCTTCCCAGGTGGCATTTTCCCAATTGCCCAGTGCTTGGAAGCGCTCTTAAGCTGTGGAGGCTTCAGCCACAGCTTTCCCTTTGCACCGAAACACGGTGTGTCTCCACAAAGCTGCACCCCAGGCCCCCGAGCCCCCGCTGTAATGCTGTAAGTTCTGCCTTCCACTTGTTAAACTCAGTGCTGTAAAGGGTGTTCTGCCGAGGGGATGAGGCAATGTCAGCTGAACTGTGTTGTAGGCATCGCGTGTGGTTGTCTCCTACCTGTTGAACTGTTAATGTCAGGGCCGCGCGGGCTCAGCGCGCTGCGAGGGGCTGAGGGTGCACCTTTGTGTACACACCGAGGGGAGGGAGCTGCCCGGCCACCCCCCCCACATACCCCCATTTCTCTCGAGGCCAAAACCTGATCTCTTCAACTCTTTAAACCGTGGTTCTTTTTGAGCTGTGAGTATTGCACTGCTAATACCCCCCCTCCAAGTAACGCAAAGGGTTCCGCCAAGCCAAGTGGTGTCTCAAACCACACAAGGTTGCCTTATACGTAAAGGAAAATTGAGCGAGCTGCCCTGAAGAAAGGCATAGTGCCGAGATGAGAGACAGACAGACAGATGCATTGTTTGGAGATGTTTAGCCAGTGCCCTTCTTCCCCAGTGAGCCGCAGAGGCTCAGAGCGGTCCTGGCTTTGTAAAGGGAAAGGCCTTCATTTCTTCGTTTATCCCCCCAGCAGCGCTGGAGAGCGAGGTGGCTTCAATAAGCCTGGTGGTAAGTTTTTGAGCATTACAATGGATAGTGTTTAATAAAGCAAAAAAAAAAAAAAATAACAAATTGCAAGTCAGTTTGTAGCACAAAGTGTTAATTGTTATTCGTTTAAAGTGGTTAAAATGCCCTATGCCACGGGCACTGCCGGCAATAACTGCGCTTACAGGACACAGGGTAACGTGGAGGAATTGAGCAACCACTTGTGTAATGTGGGGAGGCAAAAAAGTAATTGCATTTAATAACTGTTATATAAAGTAACTTTAATTACAACCGATTGGCCTGGTAAAGCAGTAAAACAAGCCAGTGTCATAGTGGTTAATGGTTGGAAAGCTGCTCAGACCAGCAGGCGGCCGGGCCGAGAGGGTGCGTTGCTGCTTTTTCTGCAGTGCAGGTCAAGCTGAGTTTAACCAGCGCCATCGCACGGTGGTTTTACGTAGCTAGTGTTGTGTGTGTCAGTTCTGCAGCCCCCAAGGCCTGCACTAACACGGCTTCTTATGATTCTTTCCCCACTGGCAGGACACATGGAAGAAGGACCGGACCTTGATTTAGGTAATCACCAACCCGTCGCTCTGTGCCCGTTCCCTGCTCCACATGAGGGTGGCAGACACAGGAGGGCTCCTTCCAGCCGTTTTTGAGTCCCAGCTCATCAGGCTGATGGAAAAACACACTTATTTGTGAGACACAAGAACCGGGAGGGGGTTTGGGGGTGCTGCTCCATACCTGGGTCAGCACAAACCCTGTTTCCAGCAAGCTTAGCCTGGAGCTGCCTGTGCTCACCCAGCAGCCTCCCCTTGTGCTATTCCAGCCCATTGCCATGCAGCTCTTCCCTTCCTGTTGCACAGGCGTGTCTGGAAGTGATGTGTCAGCCTGGCAGGGTCAGCATGGGGTGGACATCTGGGTGTGGGAGCCCAAAGGACACGGAGCAATTCCTCATCCTCATCTCCATGTGTCCCATAAGCACCGAGCAGTTTAATCCCATGGTCTCGGGCTCTTACCCACCTTCCTGCATGGAGAATGTGGGATAGAGTCACTGCTCCGAGTGCCTGGGCTTCTGTGTTACCTCATGAACACACTCCTTGTGAGCAAAGCTGCAGCGCCACGCTGAAAAGCACTTTGGAGTGTTGTATCCCACACTGACCCCCTGAATTCCCTCCTAGGCCCCCCCATGGATCCAGATGAGGACTCGGACAACAGTTCTGTGTATGTGCAGGGACTCAATGATAACGTGACCCTGGAGGATCTGACAGACTTCTTCAAGCAGTGTGGTGTTGTCAAGGTGAGGGACACGTGTGTGTGAAGGTTGGCTCCTGGCTGGAGGGAGACACAGGGATGACCCTTCTCCTGGAGCACGGAGCTCATCTCCCTGCAGTCCTTCATTCCCAGGAGCTGGTGGGGCAGCACGATGACCACAGCCAGTGTAGCTCCTGCTTCCCCAGAGTTCTTTGAAGGATTCATCCTTCAAGAGCATGATCAGGCTGTAGAGGAAGCATGGATCTGCTGCTGGAGGGACATGAGAGGGCTCAGGGTGGTGGGGATTGAGGAGGAGGACGTGGGGAGGCTGCAGCTTGGCTCTTGCATGGCCAAGGTGCACGTGGGAGAGGCCCTTTGGGACCATTGTGGACCGGTTCCTCCCTTGGCTGGGTTAGATGGGCAGTAGCTGCTGCTCCTGCTAAGTCAAAGGGGCCTTTCTTGTGCCATGGAGTCGCCAAGCTGAGAGTTGGTTGAGTTGAAAGCAGGACGGAGGAGAGCAAATCCCCCCTCTGCTTATGGCGAGAGGTGGCTTGAGGTGATGTGTGTCCCCTGCTAGGTGAACAAGAGGACTGGGCAGCCCATGATACACCTCTACATGGACAAGGAAACGGGCAAACCAAAAGGAGACGCCACCATATCTTATGATGACCCGTCCACTGCCAAGACAGCTGTGGAGTGGTTTGATGGTGAGTGTAGGGCGCATGTTTTGGGGTGGAATCACTTTGTTTGCCATTTTGGAGCTAAATCCTTGTCCAGCCAAAGGCAGCATAAAATCATAGAGTCAATCAGGTTGGAAAAGATCTTTAAGCTCTTCAAATCCAACCTTTATCCCAGCACTGCCAAGGCCACCACTAACCCCTGACACTGAGGCCTCGGCTACACAGGGGGTGAACACTTGCAGGGACGGGGCCGCCCGCACCACTTGCAGGGACGGTGACTACAGCCCTGCCCTGGCCAGCCTGTTCCAACGCCTGAGCACCCTCTGGGCAAGGAATTGTTCCTCAGCTCCAGCTAAACCTGCCCTGGGGCAGCTTGAGGCCGGTTCCTCAAGCATTTGCATCCTCGGGGTGTGGAGAAGCTCCTGGGTTTAGTTGGGCAGCAAGGGTGGTGCCTGGGTTGTGCTGGCACCTCCTCCTGCAGCAGTGTGCACCTCGGTGCAGCTGTGTGTGGCACCAGGGCCCATGGAGGAGCCGGGGTCAGCAGCACTGATGCTCTTGCCCTTGTCTTCCTCCTCCCAGGGAAGGATTTCCAGGGCAGCAAGCTCAAAGTCACGCTGGCGCGGAAGAAGGGCCCGATGAACAGCCTGCGGGGCGGGATGCCGCCCCGGGAGCAGCGTGGAATGCCGCCCCCACTGCGCGGAGGTAAGGTCCCCAGTGCACCCTGCCAGGGAGGAGCAGCACCCATGGGTGCTCCCCGTCCTCCAGCTGGGCCCACGGCACCAATGAACCGTCCTCGCAGGTCCAGGGGGGCCGAGCGGCCCCATGGGGCGGATGGGAGGCCGAGGTGGAGACCGGGGCGGCTTCTCCTCCAGAGGACCCCGAGGATCGAGGGGGAACCCGTCCGGAGGGAGCGTCCAGCACCGTGCTGGCGACTGGCAGTGTCCCAACCCGTGAGTATCCCTGGGGCTTCCGAGCATCCCGGAATTATCCCGGAGCACCCACCCGCTCCGTGCTGACTGCTGGTTGTCCCCAGGGGCTGCGGGAACCAGAACTTCGCCTGGCGAACAGAGTGCAACCAGTGCAAGGCTCCCAAGCCTGAGGGCTTCCTGCCACCACCATTCCCACCTCCAGGTGCGTGTGTGGGGTGGACACAGCCCTGAC